TATTGTTCGTCTGTTTGTTTGTTTGTTTTTTTCTAACACGTGATTTTGATTTTTGATTGTTGCCTTAGTTGGTAAAAGTACGAATTGCGGAAGTATAGTATGGTTTTCTTATGCTTTGAATTAGGTTTTAGTGAGTTAGAGCCACAAAATCCAGTTATGTGCTTCATGGGTTTCTGTTTTTTTTCAATGTTCTAATCACATCTTAGTTGATTGTAAATGTAATTTCAAGTTCTGTATATATTGTGGTTCATGTCGTGTAATTTTCTTGTTTGCGTGGTGCTTGAATGAACAGACTGTTAAGACATCCATTAAAACAGCAAGCACTAAGCTCTCCGATTTATTTTTCGCTGAGCTATGGTTCTCGGGCTCAGATCGAAGCACAGAAAAGACTCTTCTTTTAGAGTTAGTTACACAGTCCATGTTAACGAAATTAGTCCATGGCCTCCATCGGAGCATCTAAGATCCGTTCAAACCATTTTGCTACAATGGGAAAATGGGAATCAATATTCCGGAACCTTCCTTGCAACCGCTCGTGATTCGAAACTCGTGTTCAACGAGACTTTCAAGCTTCCTTTAGTCCTTCATCGCGACAAACGAGCTAACGACAGATTTCAGAAGAATTACCTAGAGTTTAGCCTGTTTGTGCCGTACAAGAACAAGGCTAAAGGGCATTTATTAGGGACAGCCGTTGTGAATTTTGCCGATTATGGATTGATTGAGCACATAATCAGCATTAATGCTGCAGTGAACATGAAGAAGGGTGGATCAGTTCAGCCGGTTTTGTCGATTAGTTTGGAGCCGGTCGAGAAAGAAAAGAGCAGCTCGAGTTCATCTCCGAATCTTGGTTTGTCGAAGGAGCCGTCTTTGGATGGTTCGGAAATTGCTTCTTTTACGGATGATGATGATGATGATTCTTCACAATCTTCGAGGACTGTGGGGTCATCAGCTTTCGAGATTGCAACGATTTCATCATTGCAAAATGAGAAGGTATGCGATTTTTTTTTTT